TGTGTGTGTGTGTGTGTGTGTGTGTGTGTGTGTGTGTGTGTGTGTGTGTGTAGCAGCTTCCTCCACACTCACACTGAAACATGACCTGACCAGTGGAGGTGTAATCAGGTGAAAGGTTCTGGTTCTCACCTGGGGAGGGAGGCTGAATCTTGGCCTGGTGGGACTGGGGTTTCTTGGTGTCTCCGGCGGTCGTCATGGCGTCCGGCGGAGGCTCCTCCCCTCGCTCCATCTTGCACTCGTAGGCGAACAGGTACTGGATGTACTGCTTCTTCAGGGAGCTGGCTGAGCTGCTGGACGTTCCCATGTTCAGCAGAGACGACAGCTCGCGCCACTTCTTGTTCTTATTCACCTGAGAGGTTTACAGACCAGACCCATCAGACCAGACCCATCAGACCAGACCCATCAGACCGAGACAAAACAACAACATTTCCTGTCCACTGAAAAGAACCAGAACTGATCTGGGACCTGCTCTGATCCCTGAGAAGGATCATCATCTGTGTCTCACCATGGCCAGACCTCCGATCTCTCGGACAGCCAGGTAGAACCTGCACAGGTCCAGAGGCTTCTTTCCAACAGCGGGCAGGTTTTGGACAGGTGTCCCCCTCTCCTCCATGAAGGACAGGTACCGGTCCACCCACAACCTCCTCTCCAGCTCAGAGCCCATCTCGTACAGACGGCTGATCTTCTCGTTGGTCATGGTGGCTGCGTTGGGCTTCTGGGGACAAAAAGATAAAAAGAATCCCGTCAGTGAACAGAGAAAACCATCTCAAGAGAAAAAAAGTATTTTCATCACAGGAATGTTCGAGGGTCAGATTAAAACACACGAAGAAGAACGAGGAGTAGGTTCAGAGAACACACCGCCGTCCTGCCTTCTGGGTGGTACTTACAGGGCTGGGCGGAGTTCTGAGCCAGGCAGGGCTGCTAACACTGTCACTGTCCTCCCCCACAAAGGAGGACATGCTGGCTGAGCTAGGGGACAGGCAGGGGGTGGTGGGGGGCTGTGACACACACAGAGAGCTATATCCATCCTGTGACACAAAACACACACAAACACACATTGATCACACACAATTTCATAAAGACATGTAGCAGTCACCATGTAGCAGTCAGCATGTAACAGTCAGCATGTAACAGTTAGCATGTAGCATGTAGCAGTCAGCATGTAGCAGTCAGCATGTAACAGTCAGCATGTAGCAGTTAGCATGTAGCAGTCAGCATGTAGCAGTTACCATGCAGTCAGCATGTAGCAGTCAGCATGTAGCAGTTAGCATGTAGCAGTCAGCATGTAGCAGTTAGCATGTAACAGTCAGCATGTAGCAGTCAGCATGTAGCAGTCAGCATGTAACAGTCAGCATGTAGCAGTCAGCATGTAGCAGTCAGCATGTAACAGTCAGCATGTAGCAGTCAGCATGTAGCAGTCAGCATGTAGCAGTCAGCATGTAGCAGTTACCATGCAGTCAGCATGTAGCAGTCAGCATGTAGCAGTCAGCATGTAGCAGTTAGCGTGTAGCAGTCAGCATGTAGCAGTTAGCATGTAGTGGTCAGCATGTAGCGGTCAGCATGTAGCAGTTACCATGCAGTCAGCATGTAGCAGTCAGCATGTAGCAGTTACCATGCAGTCAGCATGTAGCAGTCAGCATGTAGCAGTTAGCATGTAGTGGTCAGCATGTAGTGGTCAGCATGTAGCAGTCAGCATGTAGCAGTCAGCATGTAGCAGTTAGCATGTAGCGGTCACCATGTAGCAGTCAGCATGTAGCGGTCACCATGTAGCAGTCAGGATGTAGCAGTCAGGATGTAGCAGTCAGCATGTAGCAGTCAGCATGTAGCAGTCAGCATGTAGCAGTTAGCATGTAGCAGTCAGCATGTAGCAGTCAGCATGCAGCAGTCAGCATGCAGCAGTCAGCATGTAGCAGTCAGCATTTAACAGTCAGCATGTAGCAGTTAGCATGTAGCAGTCAGCATGTACAGTAACAGTCAGCATGTAGCAGCTAGCATGCAACAGTCAGCATGTAGCAATTAGCATCTAACAGTCAGCATGTAACAGTCAACATGTAGCAGACAGCATGTAGCAGTTAGCATGTAGCTGCAGCTGACCAAGAGGTGAGCTGTTCATAGAAACAGTTTGTAACTTTCTAATCTTACAACAACTAAATATTTTATAATCAGAAACAAAACGTTAAAGCTGCGACTCAAAAACTGGATCCAGATTCTGATCCGAAAACCTCCACCAGCAGCAGAACTGTGTGTGTGTGTGTGTGTGTGTGTGTGTGTGTGTGTGTGTGTGTGTGTGTGTGTGTGTGGTGTGGGTGGGGGATGGGAACTTGTTTACAGCTCACACAC